TTTAAAAAGTAATACTGGAAAATTGTGTATTTGAATTAGTTTTGAATTTTTTTAATCTTTTTTTGGTGGAGAAATTTGGTATTAGCTTTTGTCAATACCAACCTTTATGTTGATTTTGTTCTCTCTCTCTCACTTTTTTTTGTTTTGTTTTGTTTTGTTTTGTTTTGTTTCCTGAAAACACCAAATCATCTTTAAATACCATATAGACTTATTTCTTTACATTTTAGAAGGCTTTTCCGAGAGTTTTTGTTGAGATTATTTAATAGATAGACACATTGTAATTACTTTATATTTACATAGGCTATTCTTCGTATAGGCCAATTTTGTAATTAGTTAGGCTATCATTATAATAAGTAGTTAGTGGAGTTAGTTGTATACGTATAGAAGACATTGTACAGATATCTTAATGTAAGAAGAATTCACTTTCTCTTCTCCTTCTGTTTCTCGAAGCTTCTCAGTGAGAATGTCTTTCTTCTTCATCCATTAGAGCTCAATCTGAGCTTATCACCATTGTTGACCTTCAGTATTTTGTCATGGTATCAGAGCCTAGGCTCCGATTCGTTCCTTAATCACTCGATTCAATCAATTTCTGTCAAAGCTTCACTTAATTTTCTCTCATTTTCTCCTCTTCGAGAATTTTTCATTCGCTACAATTAGGGCAAAATTGTAGAAGGTAAATTTCTATTAATTTCTGATTGTTATCTGATAGTGAGACGATTTCTACACTTCTGAATCATGTCAACGGACAAGGAAACCCTAGATTCATCTAGCCCGCTGTACATGCATCCGTCAGAGAACGCCGGAACGATGCTGGTACCGGCGGCTTTCGACGGCACTGGTTATAGATCCTGGAGAAGAGGAGTGCTTAGGGCATTATCTGTGAAGAACAAGGTCGATTTTATCACTGGAAAGGTTAAGAAGCCAGATCCAACTCATGCCACCTTCGATCAATGGGAATGATGTGACGATATGGTTACCTCTTGGATTCTCAACTCACTGTCAAAAGATTTAGCTGACAGTTTGCAGTATGTCAAATATGCGAAGGAGTCGTGGCAGGAATTGGAAGATAGATATGACCAATTTAACGGTGCCAAATTGTATCAGCTTCAAAAGGAAATCAATGATCTAAGTCAAGGAACTCTTGACATCACCGGGTACTATACCAAAATGAAAAAGCTTTGGGAAGAACTTAACACCTTGAATGCACACGCTCAGTGCAATTGCACTTGCACTTGTGGAGCTATGGCAAACATGCACAAGATGGAACAGGATAGAAGGTTAATTCAGTTTTTAATGGGATTAAATGAGGTGTATACTGTGGTGAGAGGCAGTATCTTGATGATGAATCCACTACCTAGTATTGCACAAGCATTTTCCATACTAATTCAAGAGGAGAAACAGAGGGAAGTTAAGCCCCACAGTCAGTTTGTGATGGAATCTGCATCTCTTAATGCAAGTATAGGAAACAACAATTTTAGGACCAATTACAACACAAGTGGATACAAAATGCTGGAAACAATGCAAATAGAGGAGGATACACTTCGAACAAACCTCGCCTGTTTTGTGACTACTGTAAGAAGCCAGGACATAGTAAGGATAAGTGTTTCAAACTCCATGAGTATCCTTAGAATTCAAGGTACCCAAGCTATGGTAACAACAAAAAAAGGGAAAAGAATTGCATCAAATGTATTTGGAACACCAAATGATGGACCTAATACTTCAGAAGTCGAAGGAGATCATCATGAAGAGGGAAGACTTATGCATCACCTGACTCAAGAGCAACATGGACAACTTCTCAACATTCTGGAAAAGCTCCAAGTAGGAAACACAGGGGAGAAATCTGGAGACATGAAGCTGACTGGAGGAGCTGTGAACTTTGCAGTTACAGTTGCTTGTTCTTCTTCTATTGAGCATGATAATCAATTGCGTGAATGTTCTAATTCAAATGTTGATCAATGGATCCTTGATTCCGGGGCCACAAACCATATGACCTTCAATAAGAAATTACTAAGCAATGTCAAGACCTTAGTCTATCCCTACTTAGTTTCCTTACCTAATGGATACAAAGTGAAGGTGACACTTATTGGTGATGTGATCCTTAGTCCAAAATTCATTTTGAAAAAAGTACTTTTTGTGCCCAGCTTCAAGTTTAACTTGATTTCTGTTCATTCCCTAACTGTGCAACTAGATTGCATTATTGTATTTATAAAATTCTCCTGTATTCTTCTACAGGGCCCTTCACTGAAGAAGCCACTGGAGATTGGTGAAGTGAGGGACAACCTTTACTTTCATTGTACAAACTCATGCAAAAGTAACTCAATTTTACCTTCTGCACTTGACACTACTGCTTTGATACACACCTCACACACAGCACCTTGTGCATCCACTTCCACACGCAATAGAAATAAAGTGTAGTCTACTATAGGAAAGACTGTTTCAAACAATAATAATGAGTATCCTACTTCAAATGTTTCTTCTTATCCTTCCTTTGATGCTCATGAATCTTGTAATTCTGTTCCTGTTCCTAATGCATCTACTTATGAGAAATGCAATGTAGACATCTTGTGGCATAATAAATTAAGCCATGTGCCTTTCATCAAAATGAGGGGCATCTCAGCCATCCCAACTACCTTTGCACAAAAACAACCATTCTTCTACCTTGTCTGTCCAATAGCCAGGCAGAGTAGGTCTCTTTTCCCACAAAGTAACCACAAAAACACTTAAAATCTTTGAATTGTTACATGTGGATCTCTGGCGTCCCTATCACACTCCAACCCATGATGGCTACAAGTATTTCATCACCCTTGTAGATGATTACAGTAGGTTCACATGGACACATCTTCTCACTTGCAAGAGCAATGCTCTACACATTATCAAAGCATTTGTTGCAATGGTAGAAAATCAATTCCAAACTACCGTCAAAATAGTTAGGACAGACAATGATATGGAGTTTGTCAATGCTGCCAGCACCATGTTTTTCCAAAGTAAAGGAATCATACACCAAAATACTTGCCCTTATACTCCCTAATAAAATGGGATATAGAGAGAAAATACAAATATCTCCTTGAAACAGCGAGAGCATTGCTATACCAATCCAAGCTACCTTTGCAATACTGGGGAGAATGCATACTTACCTCTACCTACCTAATAAACAGATTACCATCATCCTCTATAAAAAATAAGTGTCCCT